GTGAATTGAGTTTTAACTGGGTACAGTATCCTGAATACATACACAAGGTTGAGTTGACTAATTGTATAGTTTAGATCTTCTGCATTGTCAGCTCTTGTGAGTTGACCTATCCTTTGGTGAGAGTGGTGTGTTGAAATCTCCTACCACTATTGTGTTGCTGTCTATTTCTTTCTGTTAACCATTTGTTTTATGTACTTTGTGAGTCTGGCATTTGGTGCATAAATGTTGACCACAGTTAGGTCTTCTAAATCTATTGTGCCTTTAATCAATATGTACTGCCTTTCCTTGTCTTTTATGGTGGCTTTTATTCTGAAGTCTATTTTATCAGAGATTAGTATTGCCACCTTCTTTTTTGAAGTTGCCATTTGCTTGGTGTATTATTTTCCCAGCCTTTGATTTTGAGTCTGTCTTTCTTTTTTCTCTTGTAGGCAACATATTGATGGGTTTTGTTTTTTTAATCCATTCTGCTACTCTTTTTCTCTTAATTGATGCTTTTAATCCATTCACATTAAGTGTGATTATTGTCAGGCCAGGTTTTACCGTTGCTATTTTTGCTGTGTTTCTTTTTCTGTTGTTTCTGGTTACTATACTCCATCTACTTTCTTTTGACTTCTCTGTGTGAAGGACTTCACTAAAAATTTCTTCTAAGTTTTGGTCTTGTTTTCACAAAATCCTTAAGTTCTTTCTTTTCTTCAAATAATCTAATTCCTCCTTTATATATTTGATAGAGAACTTTGCTAGGTATAGGAACTTTGGCTGGCAATTGTTTTCTTTCAACTTTCTGTATATGCTACCCCTTTGTCTTGTAGCTCACATGGTTTCGGCTGAGAAGTCAGAATTTAATCTGTCTCCCCTTTGTAGGCAACTCATTGTTTTTCTTGTGCTGCTTTTAGTATTCTATCCTTATCTTTTAATTTGGAAAATTTTACTATTATATGTCTTTTTGGTTTTCGTTTTGGGTCTAGTCTATTTGGTGTTTGCTGTACTTCTTGAGTGGATTTCATCATTCTTCAAAGTGTCTAGGAAATTTTCTTCTAGTACTTCTTCCACAATTTCTCAGTGATTTCCCTATCACTCCCATGTTTTGGCTTATCTTCCACTTCACTGACTCTTTGTTTCATATCTTCAGTTCTAATTTTTTGTTCTACCAGTGTGTTGAATAGTTCTTAATATTCTTAATATTGGATAGGTCTTAATATTCTGGGTTGCATTTTCATGTTTTCCTCTTTCTTCCAGTACTACTATGTTCCTCTTTGTCTTGTGATGATTTTTTAAGTTCTTGTACCTCTTTATACATACTATCAATTCTTTCTTCCATCTTTTGTGTTTTCTTCCATAGTTATTCAAGTTGTTTCTCATCAATATATTTCTTCTGAAGTGTTTTCTCTGGGGTATTTTCTCTCTTAATTGTTTCTGTCATCATTTGCATCTTCTTCTGTAGCTGTTCAAATAACTCCACATCAGTATATTTCTAGTTTTCTCTATCTAGGGTATTCATTGGGTCTTCTTTTTTAGGAGAAGGGCTATTTTGGTTTTTTATGATGACTGAGGCAGACTACTGCTTTCTTGACATTATGTGCACCTTTTCTAGGTGATAGGCTGAATATTTAGTAGATGGTAGGCTGAATATTTTGTGAAAGACCTGGATATTTGCACTCCCTTCTTGTCCTGACAGCAGTATTTCCCCCAAAGTACCTGAGTGGCAGAGTAAGGAAGTCTATTTCCTTCTAGAAACCATGTCCTGGCTGAGCTCAGCCTGGCCCAGCCCCTTCCACATTTAAGGGATCCCACATGGTGTAGCTAGACACAGTGTTCCACCTGAAGTACCTGTTATGTTGATGCTCTTGGCTCTGAACTGTGGAGGCGGCAGGTAGGTGGTATCCAGACAGTGGGGCAGCAGTGTCTCCAGGTGGCAGGGCAGTGGTTTAAATCTCTGGGCAGGATTGTGGTTTGGGGCACACTGAAACTACAGCTCCTCAACTTGGCAGGCAGTGGTTCTGTCACTGGCCAGGGTATAAATGTGCCTGGATTGGGCCACAGCCTTTAGCTGATGTCAGAGAAGCAATGGCTGGAAGACATTTCTGGGCCAACCATGCCACACAGGTCTTCACTGGTTAGTTCTTTTGTGTTTTCATTGAGTTTCTTTTTAGTTGCTTTTTCCTCCTTTGGGGGCAGCATACTCAAATGTCCATGAGGTGGATTGATACAGTGACTTGAGCATGGTTGAAATAATGAGAATGGTACAAGATAGGGTAGAGTTCTGATCTATTGTTCGTAGGGTCACTGTGAGTTGAAGTCAACTTGACAGCCCTTAACAACAACAGTAACACACTTGCTGTGAAATTGTTTCCCTTTTCAAATATGTTAAAAGTTTGCTTTATATTTCTAGTGCATAGTCATTGGGTATGGAGTGTTAACTATAGTTATGTACTTTTGTTAAGTGACCATTTAATCATTATAAAATATCCTTCCTGGGCTCTTATGTCAGTTTTTACCTTGAAGTTCATTTTATCAGAGATTAATATTACCACTTCTTCTCTTTTTTTGTTACCGTTTGGTTGAAATATTTTTTCCCACCCTTTTGTCTTTAGTCTATGTTTGTCTTCATGTCTAAGGTGTGTCTTTTGTAGATATCATATTGATTGGTCGTGTTTATTTATTTAGTATACTACCGTTTGTTTTTTATTGTGTGTGTATTTCTTTAACCGATGCATTTAATCCATTCACTTTCTGTATAATTACTGGTACTACTTTATTGCTGATATTTTGCTGTATTCTTGTGGTGTTGCTGATTTCTGTTGCTTTCCTGTGCAATGTTCATCTTGTTTATTGTTGTTCTTAATATTTCACTCATTGTTGCTTTAATATTTACTCACACATTGTGATTTTTTATCTTTTTTCCTGTAGATGAAAAAGTTTATTGTTTTTCCGTGAAGTAACCCTATAATTTACGTTTCTATTACCAAACGAAAACAGTTTACTTCATCTTGAAATTACCTTCACTGCATTTCCATTTGAAATTCCATGATTATACTACTTATTCCTTCTTATTTCTGTGTGTTTTTATTATTGTATTGTGTACTGTTGAGTCAGAACTGACTGTTGTCTGACTCTCCAGTAGATTTTCAAGGCAGTTAATTGCATGAGAGGAAATTGCTTATCTTTTCCCTGTGGATCAGCTGGTGGATTTGAACTGTGTGATTTAGTGATTACAGTGTGTATTCTTACCACTAGGCCATAAGAGCTCTCGTATCGATTAAGCTTATTGCTGTACAGACATCCTTATTTATATAAGGTTGATATCTCTGTTTCCCTACTTTTCATTTTGTAAGTTAATTTTACTTGGTGTGTTCCTATCTCGGTTGATTTCTGAGTGATATTTTCATGGGTGTTTATTTCTGGAAGTACACACAGAATAGCATTGGATGAATCTTGGATGAAAGTATAACCTTGGAAATACACTCAGAATAACCTTGGATGAAATCTATTCCAGAACATGTCAATTATTGAAAAACCTATGCTGCATGATTCTACTGTGGCACACATAGGTCATCATGTGTTGACTTGACAGCAAGTGATTTGTTTACTTTTTACTTGCACTTCGCTTTCTTCTTGAAGCTCCAAGCTTCTGTGCTGCAGACAGCTAAAGATATTTAAGATGACATCACTGCCTGCCTTCTTTCATGTTGTCATGGCCATTGGGTGGGAGTCCATTCAGGGTACTTTATGTCACCTATTTTTATTGTTCATCATGAAAGCTAATGCAAATGAGTTTGATTTCTGACAGATTTTAAATTTTTCCATTAATGAGATTGCTATGAGTCAGAATCCAATGAGTGGGAGCCATTCAGGATACTTTCTATTTTTCTTGTTTATTTGTGGAAGGTTGAATAAATGAGTTTGGTTTCTGATGGATTTTTGAATTGTTGCTGTTAATGAGGTAGACATGGGTCAGAATCCATCATGTGGATTCTGACTGGTAGCAGCAGCCTCATAAATAGAGAGTAGAAATATTCCATAAGGTTCTCAAGGCATTTGGAAAGCAGATCTCCAGACTTGTCTTTAAGAGATGGGCTCAGACTGCCAACTTTTCAGCTAGTCGCTGTGCATTTAACCTTTCACACCACTTGGAGGCTCTGGTTTTTATTTAGACGGTTAGTAAACAAAAACTGTCTTGTAGAGCAGTTGTTGAGTGCCATCAAGCCAGAACTGACCCTTAGCTGAAGCCCAGCAGGTTTCCAGAGGCAGTAAACTTCCCAGGAGGAGATTACCTATACTTCTCCTGCAGAGCTGCTGATGGATTCAAACTGCTGCCTTTGGGATTGCATCGCAGCTTCTTAGCACTAAGCCACCAGAGCTCTCTTACATTTGGGGACACGCAGAGTAATGGTCTGTAAACCAGATTAGAAAGCAAAGTGACCAAGGAGACAAGTGCTTTGAATGTTTGTTCATGAGATCCATGAAGAGCCACAAGATTTAAGTTAAAATGAATATTGCCTCACCACATCACTCATTTCAGATGGATTTTAAAGCAGTTATTGTTTTGTCTTGTCCCCGGTTCTGGAGAGAACATCCTCTTTTAGACCTCTCTTTAGTAAACTTACCTACCTGGTTGGTAGACCAGATGAAAGAATATGTTAATGATGCAATTTACCCTCCAACTGTCTCCCAAAGAAACTTTCCAATCCTTTTCTGGACCTGGAGGTTTAAGTCAATCAATAAACCTGTTTGAGTTGGTTTTGGGATTTTGTCTTCTGAGATATTTTAGCTGTATCTGACAGCTGATGTGATTTTTAAATTATTTTGAAATACTCTGGGCATGCCTTCTGCTGCCTGACTGGAAGAAGGAGTTAATAGTAGTCTGATCACCTTGGAGACACTGATGTTTCAGTGAGCTGCTGCTGAGGTAACAGTGCACATCTCTGTGGGAATGACAAGTGAATGAATCTGCAGTTCATTTAACCTGCTGTTCTTTTCTCTCTGTGTGTTTTCTCTCCTAGGAGACAAATGGAAGACTGCTGTGACCCCGCCCATCTCTTTGCTATGACTAAAATTAATTCCCCCATGGGGAAAAGCATGTGGTATGACGGGGAGTTTTTATACTCATTCACCATCGACAATTCAACGTATTCTCTCTTCCCCCAGGTTAGTATAGTTTGTTGCCTTTCAGTATAATCTCTTGTATTTTTAAAATATATTGTAAACAAAGGATATCTTACTAACCAGTACTGTCCAATTTCTTTCTTTTTAAACTATAAGCATTTTCTTTATATCTGTCTTTTTTTCTTAAAAAATAGCATGATTCTTTGATGCAGGATAGAAATAGGGTATTACAGAGTTGCAGTTTTCCCATCCCTTTTGATTTGAGTCATATGAGGCTGAGGGAAGTAAGCAAAGACTGGTCAGGGAATTGTGGGATCCCAGTGTTTTGAGACTGACTGAAATGTTTTCAAGTTTTTCTATGTTGGAATGTTTTCTTAGGACTCGTTCTCCTCTCAGGGAGTGGGGACCATATGGTCAGAAGTTTGCCTGTTGCCCCTCCTGAATGTTCATCCCATGGTTAGACTGCCGCCAGGAAGTGGAGTAGTGGGGAACATGGAGGAAAGAATTCAGTTTGACCACATTTGAAGTCGTTTAAAGCAAGCTTTGCTTACTTAATGTCTTTCCATTTTGGCTTCCTGTGCATTGAGCTCAAATGTTGCAAAATATATCTAGGCAGTAAATGAGAGGAAAAGGAAATTGTTGTTTCAAGGAGTCCTTGTCAGGGACAGTGGGCATCTTAGCCAAAATTGCCATTTAAGACTAATAATCTGAGCATTGAACCTTAGCCTTTCAAAGATTTCCAACCACTCTTGGGTTGGCAAAAGTTTATGCAGCATTAGAATCCAAGATCAGAGATAGTAAGTAGCGTTGTTCCACTCAGATGCCTTTGTTAAAGAGTTGAAGAGTTTTTAAAGGAGAATTCTGTTAAACTGAGGCACAAACTCTACCAGATTTAAATAGTTTTTTATAAAACAGCTCATGTTTGATGACTCACTCTTCATTTTTTCAGTCTAATTTATTGGCTTTGGAGTATAATGATAAAACTTGAGTTTTAAAATTGAGAAGGAATTAAAAGATGTGATCTGTTCCCAGCATTTATCTGTTTTCTCCTTCGTCATTTGTCCTAGGGAGGCTTTCTAGTTTCAAAACCAGTTACTAACAGGCATAAAATGTAGGATTGAGTTTGTCTTCCTCAGTTCCTAACCATTAGGCAAGTTGCCTAACTCTCCTGACACTAATTCAGCTTTCTCATCTATTATATGGAGAGTGTATCCTTCTCTGGTCCACCTCTTGGTGTAGTGTATGCCAGCATGCTTTGCAAAGTGCATTATATAACCATGAGGTGTCAATATTGTTATGCTCTATGCATTGTATCCTCAAACTGAGCAATGAAAAAGAAAATTTCTTTAGAGTTTTTAAAGTGAAGAACAGAAATCATCCTAGGTATTTTGGGCAGAAATATATTTAATATAGGGAATTCAAACTCAACCCAAACCCTCTGTTTGTGAGTAAATTTTGACTCTTTATGATCATAGGTCAGAGTAGAGCTGTCCCACAGGGTTCCTAGGATTATAAATCTTTATAGAAGCAGAGTCCTCATCTTTCTCCTGGGCAGTGGTCGTGGTTGCGGACTACTGACTACTGGTTGGCAGCCAGGGCTTTTCTTGGGAATGCTCTCTCTTCTCTGAGTGCCATTGAATTAGAAGCAACTTGTAGCTGATCTTTCAGTGAGTTTCCCAAGGCTGTGGAGACTGTAAGTCACATAGGAGTTGACTTCCTTTCTTCCATAGAGTTGCTTCCTTCCACGGCATTGCTGGTGTATGTGAACATACTGAGTCCATCTCAGTATGGACTGTGCTATCAGAGCTCCTCCACATAGCAACCCTGTGAACAACAGGTCTGGACCCTATTCTATCATCACAATCTCTAATATACTTAAGCCCATTACTGTAGTCACTGTGTCAATCCATTTGCTCGAGGGTCTTCTTTCCTTTGCTATCCCTCCATGTTTTCAAATATGATGTCCCTCCCCAAGGAATAGCCTCTCTTAGCAATATACCCAAAGTATGTGAGATAAAGGTTTGTCTCCAAGGAGTACTCTGGATGCATTTTCTCTAAA